TTTTTATGTTATAACCAAGTTTTACATTTTTACTTTTTAACTATTCTTGACACATTAATTACATTCTTGACACAGTGCACTTGTTCCATTATTTATCAATTATATTATTACCAATAACTAAAAAGTGTTTTTTAATACGTTTGAGGTGAGTGAATCTTTGGCATAATCCTTGAAATCAAAATTCAATTTTTACATTGACTTTAATGGGTGACACACAGCTCAAACATGCAACCCCTTAACTGCATTGAAAGCTGCGGAAGGTACTTCAAACTACTTCCTCATCTAATAGACGTCGATGAACATATGCAGATACGAAAAGCGAAATTATGTTAGGATATTAGGAAGCGAAAATCATATTGTAAATTTATTGTTATACGTCACTGAAGATGGCTAAAAAATAGCCGAAACGTTTGACTTAGAATAAAGAAAATTTCTTAGAAATAAATTAATGCGTACCAATAACCACGCTGATTCCCATCTGCCTTACTCATACTTACTTAGTTTCAATTTGGGGAATCTTGTTAGGTTTTTATTGCTTGTAAAGAAAATTTTACTTTATATTTCTTGCTTATTTTTTAATATAGAATATTGTGCGGTGAGGACACAAGAGGATCCGACTCCGCGAGGGAACGGGATTTCAATGAATTTTTATCACTCCGACACTTAATTTTTACTAAATAAACAGACTTTAATTTCACTTTGCTTTACAAATTTATTATGTCATACACCTTCATCTTATTACTTTTAATTTAGCTCTGCGTGTTACGTGCTAACTTACTCGACAAGTCGGACGTATCACGTAAAGACTAACCGCCCGCGGCTTATCGTTGCGCGTACTTATGCTCTACGCGTTGCCGCGACAGCGCTAAGCATTTCGGGTATCGCCATTGCGCGACCGTTCTTGGTACGCCGCGGTTAACGTCCTTCGTTCCATTATATATTTCGGATGTATTTGCTTAACATTACGCCGTATGATTATTTAGCATGGCTACTTAGAATGATTACTCGTATTGCGAAGGCCTTGCGACATTCTTTCTCCCTTGGAAAAAGAAAGTGAGGAAACGAATTTTCTTCCTATTACTAATTTACATTTCAAATTCCCAAATATATGGTTTACAATTGTTTCTTATATCTGGTATAACATTACATCACTATTCCTATACGAGGATCGTGGATTTCCTTTGTTATCGTTTTTTTTTATATTGTTTGATTACATACGCAGTTACAGATATTATATTTAAGATCATTGCAATGATTACACTACCTCCTGCAGTAGGTATTACGTATTTATTTTTAAATAGTGTGCTCTTATTCTCTAATTGCTTATTTACTTCGTCTAATTCTACGCTTAATTTTTGTAATTCTGTCGGGTTCTTAATTATAGGTTTTAGTTGTGGTTGGTCACGCAGTCTCGTATAGTCTTCTACGTGTTCGTTTTTTACAAGTGTTAAATTAAATTCTGGCAGATGCGTTTGTATGTTTGATGTATAGATTTGTTGCTGTGTCGTCAGCGTAACATCAGGCGTAGTTAATTTACAATTTCTTGTTAATGTTATTCTTTCGGTCCCGCGTATAATAATTTTCTCTTCCACCTGGTCGTTGCATTTCATGTTTATTTTTTGTTCCTGGACGGTTGAGTACAACCAGGTTTGCGGTTCTGTTAACGTGATCCACAGCGTAGTGTTCGATAGTACGCGTCTTCGTTCGCAGTTTCGGAATTGTCCCGGGGTATTTACGAAAACTTGCACCTCGCATGGTGCGTCCGCCCTATTATGATAGACGGGCAAAGTTCGCTCGCAAGTATACGTTGTATCTTCTCGAATGCATTTAGCTAATTCCTTTTCACACGGTAACATATAATGGTAACTTTCTTTATCGATGGTCATTAAAGGCTGATTTACTTTGAAAAAGGCAAAAACATTATCATGTTCCGGTGTGAGAAAAGAAATTGCTTTCACAATTTTATACGAAGAGTACGCTATAACGGGGAATCTGAGTATAGTATAAACGTTCGGTTCTGCGTAGTACGCGTTTACTGTCATATAATTCTGTATCGTCTACCTATTTTCTAACTGTATTCTAAAGGGAAAATGCAGTCCCTTGGTTAATTGTGTCGTGGCTTCTCGCAATTCCGCGATAATAGTCTCTAGGGGCAGTAATCGTGTTATTATCAGTCCGTTGTTAGCGTATGTTAGATAGTCGATTATATATTCTCAACGTCTTTAGTCAAGTCGCAATTATCGTCGTCAGGACGAATAACTGTTCGTCCATATCTTTGCATTGAGTGAATTTTACTAGTTGCCATTCCATCCGGCGAGTTATGTTTAATATTAAATTTTCGTTATAGTCTACGGCTTGCTTTACGTCAGCTAAGTGTCCCAGCGTGGCGTTTAATATTTTAAGCTGATTTTTTACGGCGTGTTGTAACATCTGTTGGTTATTTTGTAGCGTTATCTGTTCGTCTATAAGTTTTGCGCCATCCGCATCCATTATGCCGAATAACATCTTTCCGACTGTGCCTATGGCGTAGCTATTAGTCCGCGTTTGTTATTGATTGGTTTGTATAATCCGTCAAGATGATTTAATAGTATTGTCAGCATGTTGTTCTTCTCCATTATTCGTAATATATTTTTGCACATTTGCTGTGTATTTCCCGAGTATGCTTTCGCATCGGTCTTTGTCCTTTTTAAATGAATCTGCTGAAACTTGACTCCTATTAGACATCGCGCCGGCGCCGGCGATGTCTAATCGTATGGCGATGCTTGATTCAACTGTCCGGTCTCCTCGTAGTATATGCCAAGTGTGTGTGTGTGTGTGTGTGTGTGTGCGTGCGCGTGCGCGTGCGTTTGTGTCTGTGAATGGGTAAATGTATATTGATGGATGATTGAGAGTGAATGGATGAGTGGATGTGGGTGGATGAATGGTTGTGGGTGAGTAGGTTAGTGAGTGGTGGGCGCGCATGTTGTGTTCTAGTTATTTAAAAAATGCATATAACTAATTCTTAAATCATTTTTTGCAAAATAATTTATTTCTGACAATTTGTTGCAAGACAGATTTTTATAATGTATTTCTTACGTTACATTTCATATTCTGGTTCTATTTCCAATTACTATTTTTTAGTTAATCTCGCTGGAGCTATTAGGTCTTAAATAGTCTTAATAATTTAAGAAAATTAAGAAAGTAAAAATAAATTTATTATAAAATAAACAATAATATAACAAATTAATATAATTGTTTTTCATTAAATCTTTCTCAGCATAAAACAATCTTAAGAACAGACAATTTAGAATCGTAAAATCAATAAAAGCTATTAAAATTACGTATTTTTCAATTTAACCACGTAATTATAATATTTTAAATCGTTTAATTTTAGATTTTGTCGTATATTTTTACAAATATGTATCAATCACGTTACTATTATTATTATTGTATTAAATTAATAATTGTATAATTTTGAATTTCGAAGGTTTAAAGTTTAAAGTATCAAAGTTTCGAAGCTTCGAATTTCAAAGATTTCAATGCCGATCTCGCGAAACTTTCGAAGCTTTGAAGGCTTCGATCTTCGAACTTCGAAGCTTCGAAGGTTCGAAGTTCGAATGTCGAAGCCTTCGAAGGAAATCACCAGCCCTAGTTTCAACCCACATATGTCAGTGGCTGGAATGGACGGCAAAAACATCAGCATATTTGTCTCTGAAAATTTATCATGCCGAAAAGCATGACCATTGACTATCTGAACGATCGATTATATTGGGTGGATACCAAATTAAAGATAATCAAATCAATACGCTTAGACTGCACCGATCAAAGAGTTAGTTGTTTCTTTCTTGTTATAAGATACTTTAAGATCCCTGTTTAAAAAAAATCGATAAAAGACCATATAATCTTTTTAATTACATTTCTGAATCGTTAAAGAATTATTATGTATAAACAAAAACGTCAGTCTAACCGGTCTTTACGTTAATTTCCTCTTATAATTAAAATTTATTTAAGCTAAGTAATTATATCTTATACATCGTATACGGCGACAGAAAATGTATGCTACGACCCAGTCGGTAACAATTTTAAAACAATCATATCTATTAACTTTGCTGCTAATAAAATAGCATTTAATTACATTGGCAATAACTTGTAGTACAAACAGAAAAAACAAATCTATCGTGGTACGCAACATGAAAATCGAGGCAATGACGGATTTTTATTTTAAGGGCTTTGAGAATTTAACTCCTAAAGAAATTACGTTGGTGCCTGAAAAAAGGTATGACGGCGAATTGGTTACACACCTGACTCATTTACAAGATGATCATCAGTGTTTGTTAGCAATGCAGTACTAATATAAAATAATACATATTATATATTGTAGCAAAATGTACGTACACAGTGAAAATTTTTTTTTAATTTATCCTGTAAATCATGTTAATTGTGAGACAATATAGTATTTAGGCAAATTATACTGTGCACTACAATAAATTTTACTGTATTTTACTACTGTCATATTTATTGTAGTGCACAGTAAAATTTTCTTAAATATTGTCCCATTGATTAACATGATTTGCAGGGTAAATTTAAAAAAAAATTCTCTCCGTGTAGCGTTTGAAAAAGCACCTTTTTCAACAGACCAGTTATTTTATACATGAAATGAATATGAACGGACTTGGCAAAAAAACCTAGTTAGGGGCAATATGACAGGTCTATGAATAGAAATGTGCTACGATATAGAGAGTAAAACACTTTTTATGATTGATCAAAAACCTGCAGCTGATTATATGTTGTCGCAATATTATATTGCGTTTTATTCGGTCGTTGAAGGTTTGCATTCTTTGCTTTTATACACGTATAAGTTTTGATAGATCTTTGAAATATTTAAAATATATCATTAAACTAATAGATTAAAATTTACAGCATAAAAAAATATATTTATACAATATTTTATTATAAAAGAATACGTTTGTATAAATATCGTGAAAGAATCAAAAAACAAAATTTTTAGGCACCCGTATCCTTCGTAGTGAATTAAATCACCCTACAAATCTTACTGTCGCTGGCGACAATATTTTTTGGAATGAATATCAGTTGGACGAAATATGCTGGACAAATATTAAAAGCACTTCTCGTCTTGTAAATCATAGAAATGCATTCCGTGAATTCTTTTAACGCTTATTTAATAAATCTAATTAGATATCTAATTAGATATGCATATACGCAGGATAGACAGTCAATAAAATTATGCCTCTTTAGACATATCTGCTCAACAAAGATTTGTGCGGTTCGATATTGATTTGTTTGTGATAACTTTGCGTAAAGATATTTTGCGTAAACAGGATCATGATTGTCAGAAAAATAATGGA